TGAGTATTCTTTGACAAGCCTCTCCAGGATTTTACAAGTATTATTTCCCTAGCCTCTTCAGGCTTTACAAATGATAAATATATGATTTGGTTTGAGTGTTTGGGTTACTCTCATAGAGAGGATACATATTTTTGTATACTCACTAAGGTATGCACCCTTAGTCTTACAAGGATTGAGTGTGGTTTAGTCTCATAGAGAGGATACAAAGAGGTCTACACTCACTAAGGTTCATGTTCCTAAGTTACACTTGGAACTCCTTAGTCTACAGAGATAAATACACTATGGTACATTTGACTCTACATGCGTTATCTCTGGTTTCGTTGCTTCATGGGCTTGATATCACTCCTTTTTAATGCCAAAAGCCAACCTCTCAAGGTTTGAAGTGATGATCTATATATAGTCTTGTAGAATTTTCCCGTTGCAAGTGTCCATTGAAGCAGATTTAGTCGTTTATCACTAGTTTGATCTTTTATTTAATGCTCAAGATCTTGCATTAAATGTTGCTTCCTGTTTATAGATATTGTGTGAAGTCTTCTTTGCCTTGTTAGCAACTATGTCTGAGTTTAGCAGAGACTTAGGAACCTTTTTGTCCTTTTCCGGTTGCGTAGCTGTAGGGAGTTGTCCTTATCTGAAAAAGTAATGTACTTTTTCTAACACATGCATGCTTTTGCTTTTTGTGTGCTTTTCTTCTTCTTCTTCTTCTTCTTCTTTTCTTTTAATCACGCGATCATGTTGAGAGCTTTCGTATGATCGTAGACGATGCCTGAGTAGTCCTTTGAGACTTGATTCTTTAAGTGCTTGCATGGCAGTCTTCATCTGCGCCTGTCAATCCTATGCATCTCAATTTGTGATCTTCGTCTGAGCATTTGACATTGATGCTTTGACTTTCTTTCGGTCTGGTCAACATTGTATATGGAAAGACATTGTTTCCATCTGGAACACTTTTTAGTCTGTGTTGTTTTTTGTCTAATGCATAGTTGACTTTCTTCTGATATTTGACCAACCTTCGTCTGAGTTTTCATGCTGCACTTTAGGTTGTGCTTGACATACCTACGTATGATTGACCATTGGCTTCATATGATGTTTGCATGGTTTTTTGTCTATAGTCTTGTTTTGGCCTTTCAGTCTGATGTCTTCTTTTTTTCTATAGTCTTGTTTTGGCCTTTCATTCTGATGTCTTCTTTTGTAGTTTATGAAGTGGCTCATGTTCTATTTTTCTCAACTTGCTTGTACTTATGTTGTTTTGAAACACTAACACACTTGTTAGAAATAACAACATGTATTATATTTGTCTCATTCAAAACCTTGATGAGAATTGTTTCGTCTGACTTAAAATTTAAAACTGTGCAAGGTTGGCTCAACAAAAGTTTTTTGCGTCTAAGAGTTTATCGTCTGAAAAAAAATGTTTCTTAAACTAAAAAGTTAAGCAGGTGTATTTTTTGTTTAAAGATAGTTGCAGTAAGAAATGAGTAGCAGACGAAATTTTTAGTAAGATATATCAGCTAAAAAATATTGCGTCTAAGAATTAGATAAAGAGTGCAAAGAGTTTTATACTGGTTCGCTCGACCTGAGCTACGTCCAGTGTCCTTCAACCGAAGGGTTCCACTAATCACAACGGATTACAATATTATCAACCACTTTTGGTTCGCCAACTTCACTCGTCAGCGCTAGTATTCTTAAACCACATCTGGTTTCTCAAGTATTATCAACCACTCTTGGTTCGCCAACTTCACTCGTCAGCGTTAATATTCTTAAACCACGTCTGGTTCACCAAGTATTCTTTCAACTAGCCTCTCCAGGCTTTACAGTAGATAGATGGTTTGAGTATGTGTATAATTCTCACAGAGAGGATAGGATGGATTCTACACTCGCTAAGGTATGCAACCTTAGTTTTACAAAGATATGTGTTTTTGAGTGTGTGTTACTCTCACAGATGTTGTGATTCATAGTGGTGAATCTACTCACATCTGGTGAATGAAGGTTTTGATGAGAACAAAGTGTGGAACAAAGCTGACCAAGGACATCAACAAGTCAAAAACAAAGTCAAGAAGAAAAATATGAATATTATGGTGTAATATGAGTAGCTCATAAATTGTATTGTTTTGTTGAGCTTATTTTTCATGTGTGTGCTTTGTGCATGAGCTAGTCTTTATTTAGTCTGATTAAGAGTGAGTATGATTATTAGTTTGAAACTTAAGAAGTTATTTTTAGACATAAAACAGAGTTTTTGAAAATTGACTCAAAATAATCAATTATCATTAAATATAATTGATTATTCCAGCAACAGGTAAAAATGATGCCTTGCTGCAATAATCAATTATTTTGTGAAATAATCAATTATCCCAAGAATCACTCTCTGGAATAATTGATTATCCTGCAAAATAATCGATTAAATTGTTCTTGGTTGATTTCTAGAAATCATGAGGAACAAAATAATCGATTATTCTTTAAAATAATCAATTATCTGATTTTGGAAAACTTATAAA